TTCTGTGTAAGACCTAAGAAGGACATATGGGTTTTGTTGAAAATTTAAATTTTGTGTGGCACACTATCTGATGTAATCAGTCTGGTCAATTTGTTTTAATAGCCTAACTCAGCTTTTTTGACATGGAAACTTCCATGTTAAAAGATGGAAAAGTCCTTGTCAAGACCTCAATAGGAGATGAGCTCTTGGTATTCTGTTCAAGTTGACATTATACCTTGAGGCATTTCAGGGGATTCTGGAAGTAAAATGAAAGAGGTGTTTGCAAAGGCCCTTAAGACGCTAGGGAAGGAAAGTGAAGACTATCTGCAGTGGGCCCTAACCTGGACAAGGAGCAGGCATCTTCAGGGTTTCATAAATCACCCAACAATAAGTTCATCTGAGTAGCAGCCCTGACAATTACTTGAGGTCAAAACTTTACCATGAGGGACAATATTATTATGGTAATAAAAGTAATTATTTGATTGAAAATAAAAGGATGCAAAAATTACTGCAAGTCTAACTGGGGAGGGAAAACAAACATATGCAAATAACAGTATATGAGTGGCACTGATGACAGCACAAGACATTAAGAGATAAATTGAGTGATAGCACATAAATTCTCAAATAAGAAAGCAGGAACCAGAGTAGTTGATAAAAGAGGTGGAAATGATCAGTGGTCTTAAAAACATGGTAGGATATGAAGGAAGAGATCATTCAAGTCAAGAGAAAGTATCGCGTAAGTTAAATAGTTGTTACTACCCTATGTGTATGTGTCAATACCATGCAAAGTATGGTGAAGAATTAATATAGGAACAAGGTACTTTATTGGGCCTCAAAGAGATGATAGTCTAATAAGCAGAGCCAAGACTGATGATCATGGCTGGTTTCTGGAGTGGTGAAAAGATACAATGAAGGAAAACTTTTAGGTGCATCACTGAAGATAATGTTGGATAAAATAAAGGATGTGCTCAAGATGCAACAGAATAGCACTTCTTGATGCGAAGAAGAGGAGAGTGATAAGTAGGGAAAAATCAGAGTCAGTCCTGACAATGGAGGCATCCGGGTAACCCTGTGTAGACACAGAATCTGTGGGGTGGACACTGGAGGACAAGCATTGGCTTCCCTGCTTGGGTTGGAGCTGACCCTGAGCACCAGTGAGATTTTAAAGGTGGTATGCAAGGCAAAAATAGGGCACAGAAAAAAAAATGGAATGAAAAGAAAAAAGAAAGAAAGGGGGAGGGAAGGAATAAGAAGGGTGTTTGAAAATCCCTGAATGATGAGAATATATGGGAGACCAGCATAGTGCCTGAAAGTATAAGAGACCCAAGGTTTCCCATGCATCCACAATTCACTGCTTCTGCAGTTGGGTTCCAGATAAAGAACATGGCTTGAATTTTCACATATGTGAAAAAAAACATATACTTGAACACTAGAATCACTCTCAGTGCATCAAGGTGCTATGAGCCATCTGTGAAGAAAGAATGACTGGAGGGGTGGGTGGTAAATTGTTTATACACAATAAAGAAAAAAATCCAATGTGTACCTCTTGTCCTAGACTCAATCAAGGTCATATGTCCATTGGTGGAAATGACAGAATCTGCTGCATGATTTAAACTGGCATTTCTATGGGCCTGCAAAAAAATAAAATAAAATAAAATAAACTGGCATTTCTCAATTTTTTTGGAGAGGATTAAGTACAAAGTTAATGTCTCAAAAATCTGTGCACTTCTTTTGCAATGCTACAGTATCAATATTCTTGGATTTATGTTGTTCTTATGTTGATTCTTAGTCTCCTCCCATTAAAATTTCTTACTGTAAGGTTTATTAAAATTATTTAAATTTCAAGTGTACAGCATTAGAATTCAATATGTGTATACATTACCCAGTGATCACCACTACAAGTCTAGTTACCATCTGTCTTTGTACAGTTCACCCCCTTCACCCATTTCACTAACTCTTCCAGCCCCCTTCTACTCTGGAAACCACAATTCTGATACCTGCATCTGAGTTTGCTTTGGGTTTATTTTATTTGTTCCTTTGGGTTTTTCTTTTGGGATTGGACATATGAATGAAATCATATGGTATTTGTCTTTCTCCATCTGATTTATTTCACTTAGCATAATACCTGTGAAGTTCATCCAAGTTGTCACAAGTGGGAGAATTTCATTCTTTTTTATGGCTGAGTAGTATTTCACTGTACTCTTGGATTTCCCTGGTGGTTCGGATGGTAAAGAATCTGCCTGTGATGTGGGAGGACTGGGTTCGATCCCTGGGTTGGGGAGACCCCCTGAAGGAGGGCATGGGAACCCACTCCAGTATTCTTGCCTGGAGAATGCCCACGGACAGAGGAGCCTGGTGGGCTACAGTCCAAGAGGTCTCAAAGAGTCAGACACAACTAAGTGTCAGCACACAGCACAGTATTTCACTGTATATATTTGTGCATGCTAAGTCATTCAATCATGTCCAGCTTTTTGTGACCTCATGGACTGTAGCCTACCAGCCTCTTCTGTCCATGCGGATTCTCCAGGCAAGAGCACTGGAGTGGGTTGTCGTGCCCTCCTCCAGGGGATATTCCTGACCCAGAGATCGAAACTGGCAGGTTATTTACCACTAGAGCCACCCAGGAAGCCTCGGGTACATATATAAAATGTATCTTCTTTATCCATTCACACACTGGAGTGGGTTGTCGTGCCCTCCTCCAGGGGATATTCCTGACCCAGAGATCGAAACTGGCAGGTTATTTACCACTAGAGCCACCCAGGAAGCCTCGGGTACATATATAAAATGTATCTTCTTTATCCATTCGCCTTTCGATGGACACAGGTTTTTTCCATATCTGACAACTGTAATATATTGCAATAAAAATAAGGGTGCATCTCTCTTTTCAACTTGGTGTTTTTATTTTATTCAGATAGATACCAAGAAGTGGAAATATGGTAGTTCTATTCTTAATTTTTGAAGAACGTCCATACTGTTTTCTATGTGGTTGCACCAATTTACAGTTCCACAACAATGAGTGTTTTCTTTTCTCCTATCCTCTCTAACATTTGTTATTTTTTCTCTTTTCAATAATAGCCACTCTGCAAGTAATATCTCATGGTAATTCTGATTGACATTTCCCTAATAATTAGTAGTGTTGAACATCTTTCCATGCCTGTTAGCCATCTCTATGTCTTCTTTGCAAAGTGTTCAGATTCTCTGTCCATTTTTAAATTATTTGTTATTGAGTTATGTGAGTTTTTAAAATGTGTTTTAGATATTAACCCCATAGATAAATATCTTCTCCCATTCAGTAGGTTGCTTTTTCATTTTGATAACAGTTTGCCTTAACTCTTCAGAAGTTGTTTTTTTTTTTTTAATTTATGTAGTCCAATTTGCTTATTTTTGCTTTTCCTTTTCCTTTGGAGTGAGATCTACAATGTTACTGCCTATGTTTTTCTCTAGGATTTTTATGATTTCAGATCTTACATTCAGATCTTTAATCTATTTTTAGATCAGGATTTTCTATGCCACCATCTTGCTTGTATGCCTTAATGGAAGTTTTATATACATGTCTATGTAGTATACATGATAAGAATACCTAGAAAATATTATATTCAGATTTAATAAATTAGTGCTTTTAATGAAGCAGTTTACAATGCATTAATATAGAGTTCTACATCATTCTTGTATCATTGCTATAAGCAGAGTTTTTAAAAAATCAGTTTTATTTTGCAATAATTATAGATTTACAGGAAGTTGCTAAATATAGTACAGCGAGGTGCTAGATATTCTCACCCAGTTTTCCTCAGTGGTTGCACCTTACATAACTATAGCAAAATATCAAAGCCAGGAAGTTGACATCAATAAAACATGTGTATATAGTACTGTTACTGTTTTATCAGATGTGTAGATTTGTGTAACCACTGCATTCAAGATATACAATTGTTCTAGCATTACAAAGACCTACCTGTATTATCTTTTTATAATCATCTACCACCATCCTAACCCCTGGAAATCACCCATCTGTTCTATATCTTTGTAATTCTATAAGTTCAACAATGTGATATAAATGGAATCAGAATATATGACCTTTTGAGACTGAAATTTTTCACTCAGCACAATACTCTGAAGTTCATGAAAGTTGTTGCATATATCAATGACTTATCCTTTTTATAGTTTAATTGTATCCCACCTTGTGGACGTTCAATAGTTTTTTTAGCCATTCACCTGTTGTGAAAAATTTTACATTTCCAGTTTTTAGCTATTACAAATAAAGTTGCTATGAATATCTGTGTATAGGTTTCTGAGGTATGCGTGCATGTGTGTGCATTTTATTAAATCATATTTCAGAGCTGAGGCTGAGGATGGAAATAAACTGTCCAGAGCACTGAACAGGTTTTCAAACTTATATATTTTTACTTACTCTCCTGTGCTATTTTTCCTGATTCTATATTAACTGGGAACAAACCATTCTGTGGACAGTGTAGAAAAGTAATGACTATATATTTGATTTATTCTTGACAAAATGTTGATTTCAGAATAATATTAGCTTAAAGACTTGATTGTTTTTAGCAATATGTCTGCACATGATTCACTCATTTATTCACAAAAACTAATGTTTGAGTACCCCCTAGGTACTAGGCCTGGTGCTGTGTGTTGAGCAAGGTGCCTGGTCCACAGGGGCTTTTACTAAATATTATGTTTATAGCATAGAGGCAGCTTGCTCTTTGTTAGCTAGTATTAACAGTTTTAAATTTTAGTTTAGAAAGCGTTTATTCAGAGTTAATTAAACTGCTATAATAATATTTATATGCATATTCCTAATTTAAATTTTCTGAAAGAGTTGTGTTAATATATGTTGCCTTATCTTGGGAAAGCAATTGCTGAGCGTGCAGACACAAATAAACAATGTGATTTTGCAAGGCATGCAATTCAGGACTTTTCCCAAACAGTGGTGAAGTTTAGAAGGACTTTTATGTGTAGCTTGTTCACAAATTAATGATTTCTTCTGCTTATTCTGTGTCCCTTTCTCCCCAAAGCATGAAAAATTAATCAACCGTCCACAGAGTACCAAAAGAATTTCTACAGATCCGCTCGGTAAGGAATATTTGCTGTGTCTTCGTTATGATGGTGCTCTTTTCTTCTTATATTTTATGTGACTCTTAGAAAACAACAGAGAATTTTGCTATTAACAAAAATGTGCTAAATAATCATTTCTTATCAGCTAAATAAATGAGTTTTCCTTTATAAGTCATGCACATACGAACAAAATTCTTACATGGAGATGTAGTTACACTTTTATTAAAGTCTATAAGAAATATGAATTCTACTAAGTACTGTTTAACTAAAGGTAACTAGTAATTGCTTTATTTGGTAAACAAACTACTGTGGTTTGTTCTGAAATGTTGACTATTAGGTTTTGAATCTTAAAATAGATTTTAAATAGAAGTATATATAGAGGTATGAAACCACAAGAGAAATATAAAATTTGATTGTGGTTATGCCTAATCCAGCTACATAACATTGACACATATTTCAGAATTTGACACTTTTATTCTATTTTAGTCTCTGAAACAATTCATTTTGTGATGCTAATAATTACTATTGTGACAGTTTATAGGTCTTCAAAAGGTATCAGTGAATGTGTCTTGACTATTGAGTCAGTCTCCCAACTGATGGTATAATGTTTCGTTTAGGGGTTTTCTTTGTGGGATTGTATAAAAACTTCACAAGCTTTGCTTAATTAAATTAGAAGTAAGTAGGATGGGCATAATCCTTAGCATTATACATTCTCTCAGAGGCAATAAAATTGATATTTTCAGTGAGAACAGGAAATATAGCAAAAAGAAAACACGAAAACCCAAACACCCAAAAACCAAACAAAAAATCCCCACTAAAAGGCAATAGCACCCCACTCCAGTACTCTTGCCTGGAAAATCCCATGGACAGAGGAGCCTGGTAGGCTGCAGTCCATGGGGTCGTGAAGAGTCAGACATGACTGAGCGACTTCATTTTCACTTTTCACTTTTATGCATTGGAGAAGGAAATGGCAACCCACTCCAGTGTTCTTGCCTGGAGAATCCCAGGGATGGGGTCGCACAGAGTCAGACACGACTGAAGTGACTTAGCAGCAGTAGCAGTGAAACAACAATAGTTGTAGCTGAAAACCCAGCAGGTTGATAATGTTAACTTTGAAGAACTTGGTGTTCAAATAAAAGCTCTCCCACTGTCACTGGTAACAACCCCCAGAGTGGACAAGGGTATAGTGATCTTTTTTAAGTGCACCCGGGAGCCCTAAATTGTTATACAATGTGGTCTTGCATGGCCAATGCCATCTGGACTGCTGCAGGATGATGGTAGATGAGGTTAGAATCCATAAGACTATAAGGTGGGAGAAACATCTGAGGTATGATTACAGTTAGAGGCATTAAACTTGAGTATAGGTGATAAGATATAATAGGCTTTGAGAAACTGGGATAATCTTACGTGTATTAGTATACTAAGCTGAGTGGTCCCATTTACTAAGACAGTGAATAGAGTAAAGGATCAGGGGGAGGGAGGGAAAAACTAAAGTTGATTTCAATTTTAGTAATGTGGAATTTAAATTGGCTGTACTATAAACTGGTAAAGACAACTGGGAGATGAATATTGCAGATGAGTGTGGGTTTGGTTTCAAACCATCACAATAAAGCAAATATCATGATAAAGTCACATGAATTTTTGGGTTTCCTAGTACATATAAAAGTTACATTTACATTATACTGTAGTCTAAGTGTGCAATAGGATTATGTCTAAAAACTAATGTACATACATTAAAAATACTTCACTGCTAAAAAAGTGCTGACCATTTTCTGAGCCTTCAGCAAGTCATAATCTTTTTACAATAGTGACATCAATGATCACGGATCACAGATCCCCATATCAAATAAAATAATGAAAAAACCTGAAATACTGTGAGAATGACCAAAATGTGACAGAGACACAAAATGAACAAAGTGAAGTGAAGTCGCTCAGTTGTGTCTGACTCTTGCAAACCCATGGACTGTAGCCTACCAGGATCCTCAGTCCATGGGATCTTCCAGGCAAGAGTACTGGAGTGGGTTGCCATTTCCTTCTCCAGGGGATCTTCCCGACCCATGAATTGAACCTGGGTCTCCCGCATTGTAGGCAGATGCTTTACCGTCTGAGCTAAGTGAGCAAAGATGTTGGAAAAATGGCACTCATAGATTTGCTTGACCCAGAGTTGCCAGAAATCTTCAGTTTTCATACAACAGCAAACGATGCAGTAATCATAAAGGGCAATATAGCAAAGCACAAGAAAATAAGGTGTGCCTGTACTGGGATTTAGGAAAACAGAGTTAAAGATGAAGATACACTAGATCTGGGATATTTCACATAGAGCCGATGGTGATGGCAGTTGGTGAATTTCAAGGGGAGGGGCAGGAATAGAAGAGGCCTGATCTAGGAAGCAGTAATTCAGCACAATTAGGAGGAAGGAAGTCAGCACAGAGGGAAGAGAGAGAAAAGAGGCACATCAGGGCAGGCCATGGAACCCAAGGGAAGAAGTAAAATGCTCTGTGGAAGTTGGAGAAATGCAGACTAAGGATCAGCTGCTATAAGTAGTATCTAGGAGGGCTCTAGAAAGATTGGAAAGAAAAGCTTAAACAGAGTTTTAAAAGAAGATATCAATATCCTGTGATAAACTATATGGAAAAGAATATGAGAAATAATGTATATATATCTAAGTCACTTTGCTGCACAGAAGAAATTAACACATCACTGTAAATCAACCATACTTAAATAATTTTTTTTTAAAAAAGAGGCTATGTAACCCCAAAGCAAGGGCCTAGGAAAGAGTTAATGTTGATGGATTTAAGGCATCAAATTTATTTCTGGCACAAAAAGGTTTTCTGGAAAAGGAAGGAGAGAGATAGCTGGGAGCTAGAAATAGTAGGAGAAACAAGGAAAAGGAAAGCCTGCGGGTGCTTGTGGGAAGCCTGGAAAGAACCTGATGGAAGAGTGGTTAAGGAAATGGTGTGAAGGGAAATTATTTGATGAAAAACACTGTGGGGATGGCACCCATCAAGCATGGTGGAGTTAGATTCTGTAAGAAGGTGATTTTGAAGTGAAAGTGAGATACGAGAATTCAGGTCAAACGGCTTTGGGGAAAGTTAGGAGGAAGAGCCGCTGGCTAAGTGAAACACAGTAAGACTGAGATTGAGACTTGAGGATGGTGGAAAAGTCACTGCGGTGGAAAATTTTACATTGAACTCAGGAAACAGGCTTTTTAATGAATTTGAAAGCTGCTAAAGACTTACAATGTGTGCAAAACATAGACCTTGAGGATCACATTCTGTTTCTTTTATAACCTGGGCTATCCCTGTAGTTGATAGCCATGTAAGTAAGACAGAATTGATGGCGGACAAATTGAGAACATTGAAAGCTAAAGAGGACAGCAGATTTTAAGGAGGATGCAAGCCCATTATTGACACTCAGAGCTGACTGTTACGGGTAGAATGTGTTCAGAGGCAGACATGATGGAATGGTGTGGGCATCAAAGGACTTGCTGTGTTAGCAATGGGGCAAGAAGCATATTACGTAGGAGCAAAGGAATAAAAGCTGTGGAGGTTTAGGGGGCAGTGGTTAGCAATAATACTGAGCAGCTGAAGCCAAGGAGACAGAATAATTCTGGCTGGTGATGAAATGTAAGGATTGGCCATAGAAGTCAATTTCTAATATGGAGTCGTCACACAGGTCAGTGATGTTAACAAGATTTAGAAATGAGGAGGTCAGAGGTGCAAATAGTTATCAACAGGATTGCTGATGACAGGGCCTGCCAATGGCAAGAGAGAGATGACGCATTCAGGGAGAAGAAGGCCTACCCAGGTAGCATGGGCATTAAAATGAATATATTGCAGGAAGGAAGCAGAATGTTGGTATGAAAGTGACAGTGGGGAGGATGGATGTGTTGGCTCCATTTCCTGAGTAGCTTTCACAGAAAAGTGGTATGATTTATAGTGTAAAAGCAGGTGCAATCTATGTGAGGAGGTAGATAGAATAAAGTAAAACGTGGCAGACGTCTGAGAGCTCTTTTCTGACACCCAACCAGGGAAACTGGTGCAGACTTTCGCATGAGTGGGAGAAAGTGACTGTGATGCAGGTTAGAACTTACAGAAGGAAGGAGAGGGATGGTGGGGTCCGAGGGGTTTTCTGAGAGTGAGGGCTACACAATAAAATAAGTCACAACAATAGAAACTTGGAAAGAGAAATAGAAATTTAAGTGGTAGACAGGAGTCACAGGGTAAGGGAAAGGGTAAGCTGAACATACAGGATATATTCAGAGATGTTTATGGTTCTAAATAGTCCAGAAGCCAAGGGAAGGACATGCCATGGACCTTCTATAGAACTGATCTTTGGAGAGTGGATCTTGGTGAGTGTGTGTGTGTGTGTGCACATATGTATGTATGTAGTTGGGGGACTAGGGTGTGAGGATTGCCAAACTCCTGCTATAATTTATGTATTAGGTTAGCACTAATTAAGTATTTTTTGTAATTAAGAATATCTTTTAACATAGTGTTACGCAAATGTGGTTGAGGACCTCAGTATCAGCATCATCTGGGTGCTTACTAAAAACGCTAAGTTTTGCCCATATCCTAGTCTTATTTAATTAGACTATCCAGGGTGGGGACATGCGCACCATGTTAACAAGCCCTCCTTGATCTCAGGCAAGTTAACATTGGAGAAGCATTTCTAACTCTGCAATAGGTGATTCCCTCAGAAGAAGGTCCCAAAGGCGCTCAGCTGTCTGTCTGGGTGGGCCAGTATCTTTCTGCTGCCAAGAGGCCAAACCAGAGGCTGAGCTGGCTTCCTGTGAATAGGCGGAGGGTTGGGTGGGCACGCCCCCCAGGAAAGGCTCCTAACTCCGAGTGTCCCCGTGTGCCTGGCAGCAGCCCTGTGGGACAACCTGCTTTACTGGCTGGCGGACGAGCTCTCGGAGGAGGACGCCCTGTGCCTCTCCTCCTCGCTTCCTCTTCGTCGCAGCACCATCCAGCTCATCAAGCTGAAGAGCCCCGACGACCTCACAGAACAGACCCACGAACTTCTCTGTTTTTGGAAAAGATCACTCCCAAATTCCACCGACAAGCTTCGCCTCCTGGCTCGCCATCTCCGCAAGATCGGCAGGAATGATCTTGCAGAAGAGCTCAAATTCAAGTGGGAGAATAAAGTGTTCACTGATCCACAGCAGTGGTCTGAGGTGGCTGAATTAAGCCCAACTGCCCTGGCTTTAGCCCTAGAAAAAGGGTCGTAGTTGGTTTGAAGATGGTTTCTGTCAACATTTTACTAGCAGTTTCCCAATAATGTTGTTTGAACTGTTTGATAGATGCAATATTGAGACAAGCAGAGAAGCACTAATCAGATAATAAAAAGCATCTGCGGGTTTGAGTCCTTGCTCAGGATTCAGTAATGTATGTTCTGCAAGCAAGACTGTCTTAAGCCAAACTTAATAGTATTTGTAATAGAGTTCGCCCTGTGTATATTTTAATAGCTGAGGTAGCTTGTTAAGTTAAAGGCAATACATACATACATACATATATATGTGATATACAGAATTCCTTTTTATTATTATCTACATAAAAGTAAACAAGTCACTCAGAACTCCAAGTAGCTAATTCACATTCTAAGTATACTGTGTTTTCAAAAACATTCCTATCAGGAAACCTTATAACAGTCAAGATTTTTTTATTATTTTACATGTTTCCAGAAAAGTGCAATATTTTCCATGTGCTCTGGAAATGAGGGAAACAGACTGAAATGTGCATTGTTTTTTTGACTACAAAATAACAGAATAGTCAAGAAAATTAGATTTGCCTCTTATTCCACCACTAGAGATTACTCTTATGAAAATATTTGCTTCCAGTTTTCTTTTTCCCTTGAAGGAAACGTTTTTACTTCTATGTACACAGACGTATCAATATATAAATACACCTATGTGCATGCATATGCACACACACACGCTAGTACACACAAATCTCTTCACACATAGAGTCTTACTCACCCACCTCCTCCTCACTCATACACATCTCACACACACTCTCTATGTCCTTACACCCCCACAAGGATACTCACTCATATAAATGCACACATCCCCTCCCACACACCTGTCACAAACATGTCTGCCCCTTACAGGAACAAAAGCTCGCATCCACCTGTACACTCTCACATGCGTTCACACACTCGCACACACAGCCTCCCACGCTAACACGCCTTTTCACATACAACTCCCCACATAGACAACCTTACACACACACCACCTCAGACCCACCTGCACACTCTCACACACGTGCTTTCACAAATGCATCCACACCTCCCTCCATGCACACACACGCTCATTAACACTCATGCCCCACAAATGCACCCACACGTACACCATCTCACATCACCTGTATGCCTTCACACCCACACTCACACATACCCTCCTGCACTCTCTCTCTCACACACACATAAACTCCTTTATGTTCATAACCTCACAGGCACACATCCCTTCACACACTCTGACACGCATGTTCCCCGAGAATTAAAAAACGTGGATATTATTGCAGTAGTGTAATCACACACAGGTACATAAAGAGCATAAAGGGTCTTCTCTGTCGCCCCTCCTCTCCCTTAGAAATCAGACTCACCCTCCCCCGTGCACCCTGCGCCCCATCTGGTGGGCTGACCTGTGAGGACCCCAGCCACGACGCTCTGGCTTCGTGGTTAACAGGGAGCCCCAGTGGGGGCTGGGCGGATGGAGGAGAACGAGTTAAATGTTCCCCTTCTCCCTCCCTTGAATTCACTGCAGCCTTGGGCTGCAGCCCACGGGCCACTGACCCTCTCCTCTATGAAGGGCTGTCTCCTGGCACCGGGAGCCTCTCCTGCTCATGTCTCAGCAGGTCCGGGGCAGTAACAACTCTATTGCATCACTGTCCCTGTGGTCCCCACACTCTGCCCAGGCTTTTAAGACAAAGCCTCCTCTAATTATCCTAATTGGAGTGTGTCATATGTTTCCTATTGAGAGCCTGACTGATGTTTCTCACAGCAACTTTTTTTATTGCAGAATGGGGATCATATATTATATACACTTTAAAATGTCATTGTCTTTTATTAAATTATGAGCATTTTCCAGTATCTTTAAATGTTTTAATAACTATCTCACTTTACAGTCATAGTGTAACTTAATTTTAGTATTATCCATTTAAAAAAAAATTTAAAAAGTAGAATAATACATTATATATTCTTTTATGTCTGGCTTTTGAATTCAAATTTACTTTGTTGAAATTCATTCATGTTGTTTGTGTGGCAATGGCTTGCTCCTTCTCATTAATAAATACTATTCCATTATATGCAGATACTATAAGTTACATATCCATTTCACTGTAACTAGGCATTTCAGTAGATTCCAGTTTGCACCTCTCATGAACAGGGTTTTTATTAACTTTATGTAGATATCTATTGGTGAGCATACATATTAATTTCTTCTAAGCATGTAATTAAGAGGACTATAACTGGTTACCCTAATTCATTTATCCTTTCTTCTCTTGTTGGATATTCAGATGATTTCCTTCTTTTCAAAAAATGATGCATTTTGATCATTTTCTACATGTGTATATAAATTATTTCATTAGGATACATTTTTGGGAATGGAATTACTTACTAGGAACACTTTTAAGGCTCTTGATACACATTGCTAAGTTGCCATTTATATTCTAATTGTCAGGTTATGAAGATTCATAGGAAAATAGCATATTTAAGTATATTTATATAAATTAATAATTTGATTAATTAATTTTAATTTAATTAATTTTAACTTATTTAATTGATTAATCATTTTTATATAAGTTCATTTTAATTTATATAAATTAATCACTTTGAGGTGAATAACATGAAATTCTACATCCTAGGTAAGCCTTTGGATTGTCTTTAATTGCTCTATTGGAAAAAAAGAGATATCGGCTTAAATCTTTTACAATATTTCTTCTATGAATGAATAGATCATATCCTATTGTCATTTCCAGTTTAAAAAAAGTATATGAAGGGAAGTAATATAGCAGGCATGGGCAGATTCCAGGATGTCAGAGACCTTCGCAAACATAGCTAACTTTCAATGAAAAAATGTTAAATCCATTTATTCAGTATATATGTACTACTGGATACAAACCCTGGGTCAGGCAATCTATTTAATGCCAGGAATAGAGAAATACAGTAAGAGACAGTTATGCTTTATGGGTTAAAAAAAAAAAAAACCAAGGAATGAGATCAATATATTGTTCATTGCCTATAATGAACCAGGCTCTTCTGGCTTAGTCTTTTGCAAGTATTTACTTCTTTAATTCTTCCAGTGCCCTAAAAGGAAGGTACACAGCCCAGTTCTACAAGAGAAGAAATGAGATTATAAAGATTGAGTGCCTTGATTAGTGTCATAGTTGAGTGACACAGGATCCAAAGGGAGGTTGTTGGCCTGGCTCCTACCACATCATGCTGCTATTACCAGAGGAGAATAAAGAAGGGAAATGGATATATCTATTTTCCCCTAAACTTTCTCTATTCCTACTTCTCATTTGGAAAAACAATATTTCTAATTCATATCAGTGGTACAAACAGATACCAGTTTTGAGGATGGGGATGGCAAAAGGGCCAGGAGGTGGGATGGATTCTGATTATTGATATGTGTCCCAGCTCAGTTAGTTAAATGTTCTCTTAGACTTAAGAGACTAACAGATTAGGATAATATTGCGTATTGACCTAACACAAACTGGTGATGCCCCAATACTGGGCTATTTGCAGTAGATATCAGTAATCACCAATAGTTAGAGCCATATTGCCATAACTAGCTATTCAGACACATAGAGAGCCCTTGAAAATAGTGGCTGCAAAACAAGACCATTTAGCAATGAGGTCTTGGGCATCATTGCTGTGTACAGAATGAGGACTTCATCTAAGGTACATAGGCTCCCTGAATTTAAAAAAGCAGTAGTTCCGAAGAAAGGGAAGTGTCAAGTGAGGTCAAAATAGTGTCTGACGCAGAGCTCAGGTTTCCCCTGTAGCTTAGTCAAACTAGCTTCTTGTCCCTAACCTCATCAGTATGCCCCTAGACTATGTCAAAGGGTTTTGACTGACTTCACATCCTTAAACCTCCACTCACCATTCTTTCTCATGTCCTCCACTGGAACTTTCAATTTTCTCCACTCTGCCTTTATTACCTAATACACTAAATAATTTATACTTCAATTTTAGTTATTATTTTTGTAAACCTCCACCTTAGCGCATGTGATTCAAGGGTCAGGGAGCTTGTTTCTTCTGTTCACTGATGTGATTTTATTACTCAGAACTCCGTCTGGCACTTACTGAATGTGTCTCTGTTTGGTAGCCTTATTTTACAGATGAGAAAACTGCAGTTCAGTGATACCCAGACAGTGCTAGAGCCTGGATCCGAGCCTAGATGATACTGTTTTCAAAGCCCTTTTTCTTCTGCTTCCAACATTTTGCCCTTGACTCCCTTGCCTCCTACCCCCGCCCCCACCCCCCAGCCCTCTCTCTTCCATAACCTGGGGTAAACTTTTTCCAGTACCCTGAACCAGCAAGACTCAGTTAACCACCCTTGGCAGCCTAGACTTAGGTCTAGTTACAGTACCTATACCCTGTTGTATTCACCTATTTATCTGTTTTTTCTACAAGTCTGTACGTTTCTTGAGGGAAGAGACCGAGTTTTGTTCATTGTGGAATTTCCGGTACCCTGCAGAGGTCCCAGCACGTAGTAGGGACTCAAGAAGTCTCTGCTGAATTAATGCATGAATCATATCTATACACTGTCATGCCTGGGCCCTCTTCTTGTACCATCATCCTTCTGGAAGCAACAGAGTTGGGGCCAAGTTCTGTCTGAAAAGGTAAATTTAGATCAGACTCTGCTCTGTCCTTCATCAAGCTGGAATAACTGATACAGATGAAACCAGCTGCAAAGGATTCAGTATTTCTCCACTAAATACACTGCAGCTGCAAAGGGCCCTCTTTGAGGGACTGCTGCTTTCTTACATACTGAGAAACTTTGATAGCCAAAAGCACAGATGATCAGAAGCTTGGCTGTTGGAAATCATATCAGTAAGAAGGAAATATCCCTCTCTTGCCTGGAGGATGTAAGTCATTTTGACACAGAAAAATGGTCTTGATTGACAACATGAGTGCCAAGCCCCTGATAAAGGGTTTCTGGATACAACATTGCCCCTCTGTCTCAACGTTAGTGTTTCCAAGGAAACAGGACTGTAGGTGCACTTTGCAGTGCAGACCTGATGTTGATCTCTTTATATAAGCTGTTTTGCTTTGAGTCTAACAAAATACTCAACCCCACCCCATAACCATGACCTAAAATAACCCCGTCTTTGCCTTTCCTCAGTGAGACACCACTGTTCCTTCACTGTGCAATCTCCCTCACTGCAATGAGACAATCAACCCAACTTTGTTGAACTTTAAGTGGGTGCCTGGTGGCCCCAGCACCAGGGGCACATCCATGCTTCTGTGCTCTAATCCAGTACTTCTCAAATGAGCTGCATGTTTAGAATCAGCAGGAGGTGCCTGAACCCATTCTGAGAAATCCTGATTGAAGTCATCTTGAGTGAGTCCTAGGAATCAGAATTTTAAAGTTCCTCAGTTGGTTCTATAGCCAAGGCTAAGAATTATTCTCATAGCCAAATGGACCTAAACAAATCTGGAATGGGTATTAAGATTCAGTTTCACAGGACCACAACTCAGTCCCCTAAGTCAGAAATTTAGGCTACAGACCTGAACAATCTATATTCTCAGTGAATATCTTAAGTGATGTCTACATATAGGGACGTTGAAGGACACTGCCCATTCTGTATAATTCCTGCTCAAAGTACTCTCTCAGTTATTATTTTCATTTTTCATGGTTAGCACAGACCCTCGAGTAATACAGGAGGAAAAAAGAAGAAAACAGAGCAGGAACATTGACCCAGAGGAACAAAATACTGAGTTTTATCATCTGTGTTACCAGAAACAGTCATGCCAAAATCACAGAGATAAACCGACTCCCCTGAGAGCTGAGTATTGTACACCTCTAAATTTGGTTCTGTTGATAGACTACACACCCAATCATACACTGTGCACTAGTATTTTTCATCTTTTCTCTCAATTTAAAGAGCAGGTTTATATTTCATTTTAGTAGGTGTACCAAAAAGTTTGAATGAACTGTATTATATTCTTTGTAGACATCTTTTTGGCCATTTTTTGTCCATGGTGAAGACCTCAAAAATTTTAAATGACCCAGGACTTAATCCACTTGAAAAGCCATGTCTGTGCCAGACAAGTTGAAACTTAAAAAACAGTCACTGCAAATGCCTAGATGTCACCACAAGAGGGCCTCTGTATCTCAGATAAAACTAAGGAAACGTTCAAGACTTCACAAAGAAAACTCTATATTGTCAAATAATTGTCTTGCATGATACTTTAAAAATGTTTGTTATAAGTCATTTTGGAGCATAACCTCATTCATTATCAGTATATTGTTAGTGTAATAGTACATCATTTTGTGGCTAAATTATGTGCTAATATTCTGAAATGTCTTATTCTCATTTGATATAAAGAAACAAAATATATAAAAACGCTTGCATTATAGAGACATTTATGTTACAGTGTATTTTCTGTTTCTTCAGGCAATGCAATAGACATGAGAGTGCAATCTATTACTGATCATAGGAAATGATGTAATTTCTCTGAAATCTGGAAATAAATTTTTAAAGTATAAACTATTAAAAGTATTACAGAGTATATGTATTTTTTACTCACTTTACTTTTAAATAGATGTGATTAAATAATTTGATTTCTAAATAATTACCTTCTTGCTTTTGAAATATTTTGAATAAAGTGTTGCTATGGTTTGCCAGCAAATAAAAATGGGTTACATATATTCAGAGTAGATTTCAGAATAAAGATTATTTAAAAATAATCAAATAATATTTTCAGAATGTTTTGGTTGCAATTTTAAAATAATGTATTTCTGAGATTAAATTATAAAAAATGATGACTATTACCCCCTTCCACAAAGCATCATGAAATACAGCGTGATAGTCATAGAACAGCCCTTGAACATAAAGAAAAAATGGGCATGACAGCTGAAAACAGTCAAACTATAAAGATGACCACTAAAATGTAATTGATTGTACTAAAATATTTGCCACTTTTCTCTGTGGAAAGGCAGTGAATTCTGCCCCATTATTTTTACTCGGTCATATAATTTAGAGCACCCAGTGACATATGAGCATCATATCTGAGCAGAAGGTACATGAGCCATCCAGTGTTTCCATTATGTTCCTTTGAGATCAGCAATGTCTCAAGTAAGAAAGTTCTATCAGTCTGGGTCCTAGAGCATGGAAGAGAAATTGTTAGCCTATTTGTAACAAATGGCATAAAAACTATGTGAGAAAAACATATTTCATTGTAACTCCCTATTATCCTGATTGAGGTAATTAAGTTATCAAGCATAAACAAGAAAATACTGTGATTGGTTATC